GACGATCGGCAGCCTAGCCAGGGAGCGCTGTGTCGTTTGATGTGTCATGATGTTTTGCAGTCTCAAGGTCTCAGTGACTCCTTTAATCCATCTTCTGCTCGGTCTTCCCCTGCCTCTTGATGTTTCGATTTTCATATATTTGACAGGTAATACCCCAGCAAGAGTCTTATAATCATCAGAAAAGATACAACTTTGATAAGTGCTCGAACTCCTTTATCCTCCTAACACCCCCGGTTGCTGGCAAACACAGATCGAGACTTTCGTGTAGAGCGGTGAGTACTTTGCTGGGAATAAAAGAACTGTCCCGTTTAACCAGCATCCCCAAAGATTGTAATGGTGACTAGGTTATGTGCGCCGTACATAATATCTTATCACTGCACGCCACCTGAAAAGGACTCCTGCAGTGCTGATCGGATCAACGGAGACACACCCGAATACTGTCCCGAGTAGCGACAAAGTCGTCTACCGGCGAGGTAATAGGCGAGCCGGTTGCCGAAGTGGACTCTCGGGTTTCCTGGCTGTCATTTATCTAAGCTTCCCAAAATCCGTCACATTCAAACCGACAAACACAATAGTAAGTGTAACAGTAAAGGTACAGGACCCGTTTCCACGCCTTCTGGAGAGCTGGACAAATGGGACTATTTAACACTCGGTGGGTGATGTGGCCAACATCATGTCAGCTGCCTTTACTTCCCACGACTTTTACCTGGTACCCATTTGAAGCTGGGTCGACTCGACCTGTTAGCCAAGGTAGGGCAACAGTATACTGCATACTTTCACCATTTTCAAGTTTTTTAATCACACTCACCCCCAGCCCCCTTTTTCCCCCCTATTTGGTTTGTTAATTTCCCTTTTTAGAATTTTGAAGTGAAAGATTAACACCCAGTGACACAAAGAAACACCATTTGGATGAGAATCCAACCGTAGCAGATCCCAGTAAACCACTTCAGGCGTACAGCATAAGAGCACTGACGATGACATCCTAACCTGTTATCTAATGTGCCTGGGTAAGTAATAAAAAAAGATAACATAATGTTTTCAAATAATGAAAAACGTAATTACGTAATGCGTGCTTCTTCGCTTCAGAATTCTCATCATTTACATCACTGTCTTCATTGACTTCCAGGGCGTTGTTGTGTGTTTGCTCGTCGACTCCTGTGAGAATAGAACAGATAGAAATAATTCATGTATCAGTTATTACCAGTGTCTTTACCAATACAGTTTTCAGTTTGTCATTTTCTTTGAGAACACACTCACACACTCACACACACACACACTCACACACACACTTGCACACACACTCACGCACACTCACACAAACACTCACACTCACACACTCACTCACACACACACACTCACACATACTCACACAAACACTCACACACTCACTCACACACACACTCACTCTCACACATACACCACACACACACACACACAAAAAAAGGAGATAGATCATCCGTGTATCATACATTACCCTTTGGAAACAAGCAAACGGAATCAGTAAAGAAAGAAGATTATTATGGCCTGGAGAATGAGTCCCCTGGGTGTAACCAGAGGGTCTCGTCGGCTCACTACACTCAGAGGAAAGGCAAGGCGGACAAATAACCAGATTGTGACTGGTACCATCAGTACTGGAACTCTGCGCTGGTTGCTGAAGATGAGGACGGGGCACGCATGGGAATGCCACGAGTGCTGTGATCTCAATTCTTGACTCAACTCAACATTGACATTAGCACAGCTCATTACAGCTGCAAGAGATGGGACATCCATGTGTATTCCTGGAATGCTTTGTCAATATTAGACTGGACATTTTTCCAACAAAAACAAAGTACCTGCAAATAAGTTATATTAAATATTTTGAGATGACGCCTCTTTCTCGTGACAACTTATGAACGACAGTCGTGGACTCTACTCCGTATTTGAAGAAAACAATCAGAGCTTTTGATCTAAAATGCAACATAAAATCTCTTGGAATATCATGTACCAAGAAAAAGAAAAACTTTGACATGCTGCATGATCAAAACATAAAGGGGAACTAACCCATAAACAGAATCCTCTCCCAAAAGCAGAAATTGACTGTTTGAACAACGGATCAACATCATGGCACACGAGTGTAATCAATAAGTGCTCCGCTCTTCTTCCAACTTAGTCCGATTCTGAAGAAGCTCAGCACAGTGCACAGACTCTGTGGCACCGGCGAGGATCCTTAAATACTTCGGGTATTTTTTTAAACTCCTAATTTTGACTTTTACGATTTTCAACTGCAAAGGGATTTTTAATGTGCTCGATAATGCACACGGGCGCCTGATCCCACTACCCAGATACCAGTGGGAATTACTAGAAGTCCAAGTCCACATGAAAAAGCCCAGCCCTTACTGGGAATTGAACCAAGAACCTCTAGCACCAGACACCTTGCATCGAGACCACGCAGCCCCCCTTCCATGTACCAGCAACAAACAAAAACATTGACACCCTGCATGCCCTGAACATTAAGGAGAAC